AGAGTCCTGCAACAAAGGTAAACAGCACTCTTAAAATGTTTAATTACAAAACTGTGGAATGACAGTAATTTCTAGCGATAATTTTCTTGCTGTGTTTGCTGCCCCAGGGAACTCTTTTCAAAAAATGCTGCGTGGCCAAATGCAGCCGGTTGACTTGATTTTCTTGGAACTGATTTAGAATTCAGATATGTATGATGCAAATCCCGGTAAGGATTAGGAGAAGGGACTTTGTCATAACCATGAAAAACTGGCAAGGTATAGAGTTATGAAAAATTGGAAACCCCGCCCCGACGTCGATTAGTTCTGGAACTACAATGGGCGACAAAAGTGTTGAGACACTTGGCAGTAAAATTCGATTTTCGAACGTCTTGGACACATTTTCCCCCCTTCCCCCCAAAACAAAGTTGATTTTTCTATTTCTTGGACTGCACAGACCACAGCGCCCACACAACATTGAATTGGGGGGTCAGGGGTATCAGAGAATTAACGCTAGATGTAAATAAAATAGAACAAGTGCTTAAATATCGAAAAGCGTCATTTCCTAAAAGTGTCTCAACTACTTTTGTCGCCTATTGTAGTTGCGGGGGAAAGCAATTGTAACTGTATGCAGAAAACAATACAATTAAAGTTCAAGTTCAAGAAACACAAAAGGCAATGACGAGAAGAATATTAAAACAGTATCACTTTTTGTTGAAACATAGGCCATTTCCGAGTTGTCTTTTGCCTCTGTGTCAAAACGAGTTTTCGTGCGAAACTATTCATATGAAAATGTGTTCCGCCTACAGGTTCATTTTCCAGAAGTGTAGCAGCTCTCGTAAGCTTGTAATTCTCTTCATTGTTAGCAGCTGTTATTGTTTTAGGGCTAGGGGCATTGTTTCTGTTGTTTGTTCTATTGTTCTCTCAAAGAGTAGCAAGCCATTCATGTGAGACCTTACGAGAGCTGCTACATCACCCTCATTTTCACGCAAATCGAACTCAATTTGACTTGAAACCTTTTGCTCGAGGACTTACTTTGAAAGAGAGGCACAAGGTAAACTCGGAAATGGCCTATTTCTAGTTCTAATGACAGTGGGCATTTCATTTTGCTAATAATACGAAAGCTCACCTCCCAACAGAGCACAAATAGTTGACAAACTTGTAACAGATGCTCCATTTCTGGTCTCAATCCTCGGGCTTCAGATAAATAGTGCGCCAAATTCTCTTTGACCTCCTTATTACTAAATACAAATACAATTAGGAAACAAAGTTCAGTACCTCTTAAACAATTTGTCTTTCCTCTAGTTGAGGGCAAAGGAGGAAAACGGCTTGCTATCTGAAACACGTTTCAGGGAATCAAATACGTTCTATTTTCTAGTTTGGTTTCTTGATCTAATGTTGCTTTGTGCATTCTGTTATATATCCATATTACGTGACTTTTTGAACTTTAATCGGCCAATCCATGCTTTTTTTATTTTCAAGTTCGATAAAAACAATGATCGACCATGACTTTTTGGATCTAAGCAGAGGTCATAAGAACAAAATTTTGCAGTTAAATTAGATCGTACGAAATCAAAAGTGCCTGGGTTTTCAACTAACCCTGTCCTCAAGAGCTGCTGTAGCAGAAACGATCTCACCACGGGTGTAGCATCAATGCCATGTTCTGGGAAGGGTGAGAAATCCTTAGTCTTGGAACTACCTTCTATTACGTAACTCATGAACATGGCAAACAGCTCAGGATCCATCCCACCATCACCAGCGTTCGCACCGAAACAGAACAGTGAAACCAGTTCCATGAAAAATGAATTGCACCGACGACGGAAGTCATAATGTTCTTTAACAGCTTTCCTGTAAGTATAAACAGGCGGTTTGATGGTTTTGGTGAGTGTGAACAAAACTTTTTGATTAAGAATACGAAGAAACTGAGCACCAATTATATTTCCTTTGAAGTTCGTCCCGCTTCCTTCGGTCAGCATGAGGCTTTAGACCGCACAGTTTTTTGAAGGTCGACTTCTTAGTGAGGAACTTTTAATTGCTTTACTGAATAAAAAATCCCTACATCTACCTTATGAACTTGGTGGACAGTATTTTGAAATCATCAGGGACATCTTGTTTGCACAACGGACACGTTCGTTCTCGCTCGATCCAATTAGATACACAAACCAGGCAAATCACGTGACCACAGGGCATTTTAACGGGGTCTTTTCCGGCTAGACCTTCCAGGCACACCGGGCAGGTGTTTACACCATAACTGTAAAAAAGAAAATACCGCATTAACTATGTAGTAAGCAGTAGTATGACCTCTTCTTGTTAACTAGCATGCTGCCCCATAGATTTACATTTGCATGTTTTGCATTGTCTCCTTACCTGGTATACCGTTTACTAACAGCCTCACTGCAATCCACAAGGAACTTCTCAATTACTCGCATTGTGTGCGGCTTTGTGAAGTCCGTCTCATCACCCAACGCCTGTTGGATTAAATCGTAGTAGCCTCAACACTGAATTCAATGTCAGAAGTTCTCACTAAATACGAGCTTCATAATGGGACTTTTTTTGAGAATTGAAGATAATTGTGAAAAATACTATTAAGATAGGAATAAAGCCCTTTTAAGAACTTTTAACCCTACAGACCCAGTAGTATAACGTTCCTCAACAACTGATGTCATCGCAGCACCCACCTTCCACAGTTTGAAAACATTTTTGATGTCCGCTGGGTGGCATGGTAACGTGCCTGGACAGGTGTGTTCAATGAAAAGCCTTACAGCACTTGCTCTCTGCCATGTGGACCTAACAAAGAACATCAAAGATGGGTCACACACATGATTCACTTATCATCATACATCTACGTTAATTCGTAACTATCCAATTAACAACCGACTCGTGCTTTAGTGCGCATCGCCCAGTTATGAAGCACGTGGGAAGTTCGGAGAATACCAATTAGCATTAGCGTTAGCCTTGAGCACAATACCCCACCTAATTCCCCTTGAGAACATGATGTCCTGAGGAGATGTTTTACTTCACCTAAAAGATGGCCTTGTAAGTTAGGAATTCCTGTGTGAAATAACCCACTCTAAGTGGTTCACATGATTGGTTTTTCTTTAATTGAGTCGTTGGCTGATATACATACTTGCATTCCTGCAGAATGCGAGCCGTTTTAGGTCCATACTGTGATAGGTTACTGATCATGTTGTCAGCACTGGATCTTATACTCAATACTCTGTTGCACCATACTAAGCGCGTCTGAGGGTCGGAAAACTCCTCTGCAGTTGGTTCAAGATTGGACAAGCACAGCTGAAGGGCGACTGCATCCAGAACCTAGAGGTTTAGAATAATTATACATGAGTAACACGATTGCCTCTACAAGTGTCTTTCAATGTGGCATTCTAAGGCATGGATACCCTAAACAAATACTATCTTTAATTATATACGTGATATTTTTTAGAGACGTCCTGTTTTTAACGCCAGATGGAAAGATCATTCACACTTCAGTGTTTCCATAAAGAGCAACACTAGCACTTACCAGTTCTGATTCATTTGGTGGGATAACTTGCAAAAGGCGAGTTACAATATCTGGTTGAGCCCGCACCAAATGACAAAAGTTTGTCAATCGTTTCTCAATGCGATCATACATCACATGGATGAGAGAGATGGTGAGAGCAAATTCCTC